TCTCCCCCCTGGCCGGCAGGCCTCAATCAGCCCCTATCCCCTATCGGGACTTGGCAAGAGGGCCCCTATCGCCCCAATCACCGGCCAGGCTGAGGGACCCCACCTGTGCACGAATTCGTGGACCAGGCCTCTAGTACACAGATAATATATCATTGTATTCCTGAAACCTATACTTTTATCAACCGATGTCACCCAATAAATTCAATAAAAAAATTAATTTAAAAATCCACAGAGCTTTTTCTTTTCTTTTTCTAATTTACTGATTTTAGAGAGAGAGAAGAAGGGAGAGAGAGGGAGAGAGAGAGACCAATCTGTTGTTCCACTCACTTATGCATTCATTGGTTCAGTCTTGTATGTGCCCTGACTGGGGATCAAACCAGCAACCTTGGCGTGTCGCGATGACAGTCTAACCAACCGAGTTACCAACCACAGAGCTTTCTTCCCACAGACACACAAGGCTGCCCTCCTTCTCCCAGGGACTCAGCCACCCAGCATTCAGGACTGGACTCTAGCCCGGCCTGTGTGGCTCAATGGTTGAGCGTTGACCCGTGATCTAAGAGGTCATGGTTTGATTTCCGGTCAGGGCACATGCCGGGGTTGCAGGCTGGATCCCCAGTAGGGGGCGTGCAGGAGGCAGCCAATCAATGATTCTCTCTCATCATTGATGTTTCTAGTTCTCTCTCTCTCTCCCTTCCTCTCTGAAATCGATTTAAAAAAAAAGAAAGACTGGGTTCTAAAGCACCCCCTCCCGTGCCTCCCCAACACCCCTGTCAGAACAAGAGGCTGTCTCCTTATGAACCTCTTAACAGCCATCTCTCGCTCAACTTCCCCCCTTTGGGGCGCCCAGGGCTCTGCACCCCAGCTTCTGTGACCAACTTCCTCTTCACCTAAGGGGACCTAGATATTTCTGGCCTCCAAAAGTTCAGGAGTCCAACCTCCCCAGTGCCTGCATCCTCAGGGACCCACGTCTAACCACATCTCGCCTCCGGGTATCACCGCCCCCCTCTTTCCCCACCCCCCACCTCAGAGACCGGGAGCCTCAGGAGAGCTTCAACCCAAAGGAAGTGGAGCTTCCTCTTGCCTGCCCCCCTCCCCCACATGGAGCCCAACACCCTCAGGACCCCAGCCAGCTAGTTCCCCTCCTTCACCAAAATTCAGCTCCCAGCCCAGCCCGTGTAGCTCAGTGGTTAAGGATGGATTCCCAGTCAGGACACATAGCCGGGTTGTGGGCTTGATCCCCAGTAGGGGGCGCACAGGAGGCAGGTGATGGACGTTTCTCTCTCTCTCTCTCTCTCTCTCTCTCTAATAAATAAAACTTTTTTTTTTTAAGAAATTCAGCTCCCGGATTCTAAACTGTCCAGTGGCCCAGCCCTTCCACTGCAATCCCCAGGCCTCCGCGTTATGTCGCTTCAGACCTCGGGGTTCCCAGCCTTCCCCAGCCAGCACACCTGCCAGCCACCTGCGCTGGGACACGAGCTTCCTCCCCCACCCTCCAGGTCCTCCCTCAGGCCCTATAAAGGCTCCCTTATCAGCTGCTGCTCCTAGAAGCTTAGAAGGCCTCTCCCAGCCTCAGGGAAATAAACTTCCCCTTCTGGGGTCAGAGCCCTGGTAGCAGGCTCTACCCACCTGGGCGCCCAATCCCTGCACAGCAGCTCCACCAATTTCCAGCCCCCCTCCTTACCCCCCGCCCCTGGACACAGGAGCCCAGTCCACACACACGCCTTCCTCAGATACACACGTGTGGGGCCCCACTCCTTGGAGAGCAAGCTCCCAGATACATTTCTCAGGATCTAGGAGTCAGAGAGACACCCTGCCTCCAGGCCCTCCTCCCTCAGACCCAGGGGTCCAGGCCCCCAGCCCCTCCTCCCTCAGACCCAGGGGTCCAGGCCCCCCGCCCCTCCTCCCTCAGACCCAGGGGTCCAGGCCCCCAGCCCCTCTTCCCTCAGACCCAGGGGTCCAGGCACCCAGCCTCTCCTGCCTCAGAC